GCTCTAGATGTCAGGCTTGTTTTTGACAACTGTGAAACCTTTAATGAAGATGATTCTGACATAGGCAGAGCTGGCCACAACATGAGGAAGTATTTTGAAAAAAAATGGACAGATATTTTCAAAGTGAGCTGAAGTTATCAGAACTACTCTTCCCCCTTTAAACAGGACAGATGAGACCAGCAATGTGAACTGTATTTAAGTAAAAGTGCAAGGCGCATACATAAGACTTTTTTTTTTCCTTAAGTATCAGAAAAGTGATACTACTTCTAAAGGCTTCACTCCTACAGCAACCATGGCCCTTGGTTATTGGTTTGTATGTTTTATCAACTAATTTAGGTAGAACAGGGAAGCACACCCAAAGAATTTTTAAAGAGAGGGGTGTTATAGTGCAATAGCAATGAAAATATATCAAAACGCACTGAATATTCAACCACCAGAGCTCTACTTGGGAAATGGTTCTCCTTTCCCACTCAATAAATATCTATTTTTCATTTTTTTACTTTGTAGTTTATTTTTTAGTGAATGTATTTAATTTTATGAATTATTTATGATTAAACTGCATCCAGAATCTTCGTTTTCTGTGAAAAGGAAGAATTAGAAAATTGCTTTAAATCTTGAAAATACAACAAGGAATGTTTTAAAATATAAAACAAAGCCAAGTAAAACTGTTTACACTGATGTGCTATAAAAGCACTAAAAATTAAACTTTACTGTAGAGTAACAAGTACATTTATATATATGTTGCTGCATCACTTGTGTAGTTAAATTGTATTTCAAGACAGTGAAGAAAAATTGACATGTATATACTGTTCATTATTGTTTATATTAAGTATTGTTTTAAATATGTATGATGTGTACATATTGTTTGCAGACATTATTGTTTATGCCTTAGAAGGATTGTAGCATTTTATTTTAGTCTTAAGGTAATTATAGCTATATAGCTTGTACAGTAATTATCCTCTACCAACACTGTGGAGTCTCCTTAATCTTGGTAGTGCCTGCCTTTGAAACAGGGTGTAGGGGATATTAGTTTTCCATTTTTTCTATTTTGTTATATAATTTCAAGCCAGCAGGGCCTCAAATTCAAGTATATAATCATTTGTATCCATGTGGAATAAAATTGTGACAATTTCCTACGCACACAGTATTTTTTCATAGAAACATTTCCCTCCCATTTGCCTTGCCACAGAAATAAATTTAAAAAAAAAAGACATTTGTAACCACTGTGTTTTATCTACTGTGTGTTGTGGTGGCCTGTTGGAGGCAGATAGATCAGAATTTTTTTTGTACCTATGTAAGAGTACTTGAAGTTTTATTTAAAATGAAATGTTGTGGAAAGGTAGCAATCTTTTTCCCCCCCTTTTTTTTAGGAGTGTTATTTTTCACTAGTATGTGTGGCACGGATACAATAAAAGACTTTTGCAAACTAGTTTAAGGTTTTTTTTTTAGTAACCCTAAAGTTAGAATTTTTTAAAATCCTGATTTCTAAATGCTTTTATTGACATCTACATAGAGAACCAGGAAAAAAAATGTTAGAGGTATAATATATCAAAATGATTAGATTCTTAATTTAGTTCATAGGATTCAACAAAAGGTCATAGGGGAGTTCCCATTATTTGCAGCTAAATACAGGGCAGGGAAAACAAAAAAAATTCAAAAACTAAATTGTTCTTAACTTAGAATTGAGAGCCACAAAATATACACAAAGTATCCTCCAAAATTCCTTAAATGGGTAGCTAACACTTGTATGACTATCATCAGCATGCTTATTATAATTGTAAATGTCAGGTTTCAGTTAACAACCATTGAACTAACACTTTAAAGGTTTCATTCAAAAAATACAAAATGGAGTTGAGAACTCAAATATGTTTCTGTGTGTGAAAAATTGTCAGTTGCTCCATATAGGTTATTTGTGCTTTGTGCCTTTCTTTTTATTGCTTATTTTCCACGCCAGGGTTCTTGACTTTTTGTGTGTCATGAGCCCTTTTGGCAATTACGTGAAGTCTATGGACCTTTTTCCAGAATCATGTTTTTAAATGCATAAAATAAAATACAGAAGATTATAAAGGAAACCGATGATTTGAAAGTTATCAAAATATTTTTTAAAAGTTCAGAGATCTCAAGTTAAGAGCCCTTGACCTACGCATTTAAATTAATCTATATTACATTAGATGGAATAGAAAGGGACTACATATGAGTATATTCCAGTACCTGCCCAAAGAACTCATTGATAAGGGGAAAATATCAGAATGAAAAAAACATAAAAATGTCAAATTTATTAAATGTTAATAACTACATTTAAAAGGCAAATAAAATATCCTTAAAATGACATTTTGGTAAAATATTTAAATAGGGATTTTTTATTTTACTACTGTAAACTTATTCCCTTCAGACCTAGATGTATCAATAAAATGACAATGTTAATTTTTTCTTCATGCATGTGATACATAAGTACAATAAGTTCTTGATTATAGTAATATTAAGCTGACACATAAAATACTTTAAGGTTCACAAAGCACTTTACGTTAATTATCTCATTTAATTCCTGTAAGGTAATTACTACAGGTAATATTATTACCCTCATTTAATAGATGAGAAAACTGAAGCTGAGAGACAATGAGAGACTTGCTCATGGTGATGAAAATATTAAATGTTGAAGACAGAATTCTGGCCCCTGTCTTTCTGATTCTTAAGTCAAATATTTTATAAGTGACACCATGTTGCCTCACAGTATAAAATGAGCTCATTAATTTAGGTAGTCCAAGGTAACAATTAAGATATTCCAAAAGTCTTCCATTTCCCAAGGAGCATTATCTGCCTTCACTGATGTTACTGTTGCTACAACTATCAACAGTGATAAGATATAGCTATTTCCTGGGTTAGTTTATGTCCTGTTGTGTTTGGAAGTGACAGTGTTAAGGGGGCAATGGGCACAATTCTGTCACTTAGCACCAAGTACGTAAGGTGAAAATATCACCCTGCATAGGTGGAACATTTCTAATGTATTAAAACATCAAAAGCCTGTCACAAAGAGGCATGATATTATAGTGACGTGGGCTTCAGTTACCCGTACATCTCTTAGATTACTCTCCTTCCCAAAGTCAGAGTCACTAATAATGTCTTGAACTGCCATAATAATTTGATCTTTCAAAACATAGAGGAACCAATGATGGAAACTTATTCTGACTTTGCATTTTTCTAAATCATGCACCCATTTTGACTTTATCTTGCTATAGGGTTGGTCTATGCCTAATTTCTGTCATACCCTTTTCATTTTCCCAGCAGTTTTTGTTAAGTAGTTGAATTCTTAGTCCAGAAGCTGGAGTCTTTGGATTTATCAAATTACTATAGTTATTGACTGTTGTGTCTTGCATACCTAACCTATTCCACTGATCCACCACTCTATTTCTTAGCCAGTACCAAGCAGTTTTGATGATTGCTGCTTTATAATACAATTTAAGATCTGGTACAGCTAGGCTACCTTTCCTTGCATTTCTCTTCATTAGTTCCTTCGATATTCTGGACCTTTTGTTCTTCCAGATGAATTTTGTTATTGTTTTTTTCTAGCTCTATAAAATAATTTCTTGGTAGTTTGACTGGTATGGCACTGAATAAGTAAATTAATTTAGGTAGAATTGTCACTTTTATTACATTAGCTTGGCCTACTTGTGAGCACACTGACTTTATTTGTGTGAAAAGTGTTTTGTAACTGTGTTCATATAGTTCCTGATTTCAAAGGTTCAAGTTTAGGTACTTGACCTAAAATTCTATGTCGGCAGTCAGCTCAGGAGGAACAGGAAGCTTTCAAAAATTAAATTCTGAAGCTACAAAGAGAATTTGTATGAGAATGAAAAAGGGGAATTCCCTAAAGAATCCAATGTATACACACTAGGAAATCACCAAGCAACTTAGATTTTAAAAGATGGAAACAAGAAGGCAAAATGGAAAGCAAGGTGGTGGTGGCACAGTGGATAAAGCACTGGGCCTGGAGTCAGGAAGAACTAAATTCAAATCCAGCTACAGACACTTATTACCTGTGTGACCCTGGGCAAGTCACTTAACTTGTTTGCCCAGTTCTCTCATTTGTAAAATAAGGATAATATTATTATATAAGCACCTGCCTCTCAGGGTTATTGTGAGGATGTAAAGTGCTTAGCACAGTGCTGGGCATGCTATTACATATGTTGTTGCTGTTATTCTTTTACTATTATTATGGACAATTGCAAAAGTGTGGCAGGGTCCTGAAAAATAATTGGGGATTTAAACATTAACGTGAACTAAAATGGGCAGAGAAAACTAAATGTTTATTTATCTGTCTTGGAGAATAGATGAGGATCCAAGAAGTAATTGGACCACTGCTCAGGGTAGATAGTACCATGATAACCAATAAAAGAGAGAAAATAGGGATTGCTGCACACACATCTCTCATTTTGTTTCTCCTTTCTCTGCCAAAAATATCTGTACTAGAAAGGACCGAACAGAAGTAGCCAAATAGGGAGTTGGTACTCAATATAAGTTGGTAGATACTCACCTACTAGCTGCCTTTCTTGAATTTAAGTCATCTGGCCCAGGCAAAATACATCTCAGGTTACTGAAAGAACTGGCAGATTTGATTACTGAAGCATTGTCAGTGGTCACTGAAAGATCATGGAAAATGGGAAAGGTGCCATAGGACTGTAAATGGGGCAAATGTTGCTCTGATTTTCAAATAAGAAAATTGGAGTCTGTAATCTAGAATCCAGGGAGCTTCACTTTAATTCCTGACAAAATTCTTAACCATAATTACTCATTATTCTTACTATTAATGAGATCATGATGGCTAGTCCCCTTGAGGACATAGACTATTATTTTCTTTTTCTGTTACCAACATTTAGAACAGTGTTTAGGATATAGTATTAATACATTTTTGTTGATTGATAGATCTAGGTAACAGTGATCACAAAGATCTAGCATGGCTTCATCAAGAATAACTTATACCAGACTAACCTCATTTCCTTTTTTGACAGTGTTATGAAAAGTGCTCCACAAAAATTCTACTCTGATGCCTCATCATATTATCAAGGTGACCTGGGTTCACTTAGATCCCCCTATATTTACTGTTTGTTGATTATTTTTAAAATGCTTCAATTGAACCAAAGGCCATCTTATAGACAACAAGGTTTCTTCCACCTGTATACCAAATTAAAAAGATTCCTTGGAAGACATAACAACAAAAATAACACTTTCAATGACCTGTTGATAATAAATATCAGGTGAAACATAAAAGAGAGAGAGAGATAAGCTTACCAAAAGTATTCTCCACTGTGACGGAGGATATATAGCAGAGTGTACGTACAAGCTAAGGAAGGAATTCCCCATGAATAAAAAGCTCTGTCATCACTCAAAGGAATTTAGCCTATACATCCATTCAGGAATGATCAAGTGGATTAAAAATGTTTATTACCTAGATTTTAACATGCCTCTGAGTGGAAACCCTATGGAGTGTGTCTAAGAGTATGTATATCTGGGGCAGATGATCTAGATGAACAGTGAGGGGGTCTAGAGTTGAAAAAGAGGAGTAGAATAAGACTTAACTGCTTTTGGTAAATTGCAAAGAACTTTTATAGACCCCAAATTTCCCATAATAACAAAGGTCCATCTTTTCAATATGAATTTTCGTTTCTGTAGCTGTAGGGCAGTGAGATCTGGAGTAACACACTGCCTTTGAAGAATTTAAGATTAACATTACATAGAGGGCAATTAAAAGGCATATGGTGGATGTGAGCAGGTTGCAACCTATTATCATTGAGGAACTCCAAAGAACAGGTTAAAGGGTATTATTGAAGACCTGTATTATGGAAAGAGAATATGAGCCAGTCACTCAGCAACAGCAAGGAAACAGAAGTAGATAGCCATAGTGTTCCACTGGTACAGTCTCAATGTCAGAAGAAACTGAGGAAGGCATCCAGCATGTCTGAGTAGGACCCCCTTTAGTCAACTTTTGGGAGGACATGAGTGAGAATCATACAATATCTGGGCTGGACCTGACTCGAGCCAGTCCCCTGCTAGTTTATGTTTAACATTGGAATGAAATGAGACACTTATTGTAACAAAAGGAAATTTACTTAGCCATAGCAGGAGGATATTAAACAAATACATTTACAAAGTTGAAGAAAGTTCCCCAGGCTTTGGGGTGCCTTCGTGGTCCTTAAGCCAAACATCAGAATGTACCTGGAGCTTCTTGTGGCTGTTTTGACCTTAGCAGACAAGAAAAAAAAATGTCAATTGCCTGAGTTTTTTCATCTCTTGAGTCAATCAAGTCTTGAAAATAGTCTCAGTATATTATAAGGAAAAACTAGCCTAACTTACATGGGGGCAATGAGTTAGGATACTGCTTTGACCACATATGGGATGGGCAGTTGTGGATGCATCTTTGATGGGACCTTCCAAATTGATGAGATCGCAGGTCCATTTGAGTATTCAAGTACAAGACTAGTAGATTGGGGAAAATACTAATATTTTACCAAACCGTTTGACAGAGAAGTGATTCTAATATTGTGGTCAAGACAGATGGTGGTACGGGATTTTGAACTTTCTGAAGCAACAAGTAGTGAGACACAGCCATACACAATAAACATTCATTAATGGTTCAGTGTCATCCTAGAAGGAAGTACCCCCAGGATTGATTAACCCTCTGCTGTTTTAATATTTTTATCATCAGTGACTTGGATAAAAAGTACACTAAGCTTACATAATCTTCAGGTGACACAAATCTAAATGGGATAGCTTACACATGAAATTTTCTGGGTTTTCAAAGGATCTTGGATTATAGAAGCATAAATCTCATGTTGTAACTTCATTGGCCATCCTTCATTTTACAAACAAAGAAACTGAGATCCAAGGAGACTGTGAGGTATGCAAAGTCACAGAGGTATTAATCAGGAGTGGGCTATATATGAACCCAGGTCCGGTGACCTCCAGAGTAAATGTTCTTTCTACCGTACCACACTGTTACTAGGGGTGTTCCTCAATGCCCTGGACCTAGGTCCTCTGCACTCTACGATGTCTGGCTTGGTTACCTCATCAGGCCTCATTTGTTTTAACAGCTCTATGTAAGTGATTCCAGATCTATATATCCAGCCCCAGTCTCTCTGCTGAGCTCTAGTCCTCCAGCACCAAATGCCCACTAAAAATTTCAAACTGGATATCTTGTAAATGTCTCAAACTCTATACTTTCTCTCCAAAGTCACCTTTCTTCCAAATTTACCTTTTCCTATTGAAGGCACCACTATTATTCTGGCAATCAAGATCTGCAATTGTGATCTACGCACTTCTCTCTCTTATCCCATATATCCATTCATTTGCTAAGTCTTGCCAATTTCACCTTTTATATTTATATTTTTAAATAAAATTATTTTTATATATTTTTTATATTTTACAATATTTTTTGCATATGTTTCCTCTCTACTTACAGCAACCTCTCAAATGAGGAGACTCTCATCTCCTCTCTCCTGCACTATTTACAAAAGTCTCCTAATTGGAATGCCTGCCTCAAAGTCTCTTCTCCTTTCTATGTCAGCTCTGTGTATTAGGGATAACATGAGCAGCTATGTGATGGATATTCCCCTGCTCAATAAGTTCCTTATTGCCTGCAGGATCAAATACAGGCAGCTCGGTTTGGTATTTCAATCACTTCATAATCTGTCTCAAAGCTACCTTCATACTCTTATTATATGTAACTCCCTTTTATGCATGCTATAATCCAGTCAAATAAGGCTTCTTATTCCACATACATGCTACTTCATCTCTTGTATAAGCTTTCTCCCATGCCTGGAATGTTCTCCCTCAACTGAAATAAGTGGCTGATTTCTTTCTAAGACCAGCTCAAGAGCCACCTTCTATAAGGCTTTTCCTAATCCTTCAGGTTCTAGTGTCTCCCTCCAAATTGTCCAATTTTTAAAAAAATGTTATTTCCCCAAAAATAAATTGCTTAAGGGCAGAAAATTTCATTTTTAAAAGTCTTTGTTTATCTAGCACCTATCTACCACAATGCTTAACAGCATTTAAGTTTGATTTGACTGAATAATTTAAAGTCAAGATTCAAAAAAGATCTAGATAACCCAGAACACTAGTCCAACAAGATAAAATTTAATAATGATAATGTAAAATCTTAGACTCATAGTGGTCAAATAACCTAATTTTAGAGATAAGGAAATAGATTCAGAGAGAATAAGTAACTTGCCCTAGATCACACAGATAATGTGGTGGAGCTGTGATTTTCACCTGGGTCCTCTGATGCCAAATAAAATTGGGGACAGGTGTGACTAAACAATAGTTCACTTGAAAAAGACTACAAGCTCAGGAGTGATGTGGCAGCCCCCAAAGCTAGTGTGTCCAGGAGCAGGAAGGTGATAATCCTATTGTACTCTTACCAAATTAGAGTATATCTGAATTATATTCACTTCTGAATGTGACATCTTATGAAGGCTGTTAATGAATTTGAGGGAAAGAGCCACAAACCACAAATTGGACTTCTTGGCTTCGAAGTGTGCTACTTAGGACTAGTTCTGATAATTCGTGAAACTCAGTTTCAAGTTTGGAAACACATTATGTATTATTCCAATACTGATATTTTGATAAGGGCTAAATTGGACCCTGTTGGCTAGAGATAATGGGTAAGTGGCACTGGCCAACTGTGAATTCTGTGTGCAAGACCAGAGGATAAAATTCCCTGTTCCCAAGATATTATGTGACTAAACTTTTGGTGATTCCAATAAAAGGGGTGACAAGTCTATGACAAAAAAGCTAGGCTGCTCATTTACAGAAGTGCAGCTGACAGTCTGGGTCTTCTACTGCAGGTCATGTTACTAACACATACTTTTTGAAGCATCAGCTACATTCTTCTTAATTTATTTGTTCTTGAAAGGCTAGTGGGGACAGCTACATCACAAAAGTCTACAAGACCGGACAAACTGCTAATCTATAAAATAGCCCCAAAGACAATGCATTCACTACCAATTACTGCCAATAAAGGAATTAGCTTCCCTGGCTTCTAAGATGACCTGACATATATTTGTCCAAGACAACTCTGAGATGAGCTGATTCAGGTGAACAACTGGAACCAGATAATGGCTTATACAGAAACAATCCAGATTTTAATTCTGGAGAACAATTTGGAATTAGGCCCAAAGAGCTATAAAACTATGAACCAGTTTCTATAAACTATAAACCCTTTGAGCCAGCGATACCACTACTAGGTCTGTATCCCAAAGAGATTGAAGAAAAAGGAAAAGAACCTATATGTACAAAAATATTTATAGCAGCTCTTTTTACAGTGGTAAAGGATTGGAAACTGAGGGAAAGCTTATCAATTGGGGAATAACTGAACAAGTTGTAGCATATAATTGTGATAGAGCACCATTGCACTGTGGGAAAATGATGATGGGAGTGGTTTCAGAAGAAAACATGGCAAGACCTATGTGAACTGATGCAAAGTAAAATGAGAAAAACCGAGAAATCATTGTGCACAGTACCAGCAATGTTGTAATGATGATCAACTGTGAAAGACTTGGCTATTCTGACCAATACAATGATCCAGAACAATTCCAAAGGATTCCTGTTGAAAAAATGCTATCAACCTCCAGAGAGAGAACTGATGAACTCTGATGCAAAGTGAAGTATAATTTTCTCACTTTCTTTATTTTTCTTGCTTTTTAAAAAAAATATGGTTAATATGGAAATGTTTTGGATGATTTCACATGTATAATTGTTATATTGTTTGCCTTCTCAGTGAGTGGGGGAGGGGTAAGAGGAAATTTAAAATTTAAAAAGAATGTTAAATCTAAATAATAAACTTTTTAAACATTAAAAGAAATGTTGGACATACAGGAAAAAAAGCCATATACTATCAGATAGTTTTTTTATCAGCTAGATATTAACATCAAAAAGATAAGCTTGTTTCTTTTTAAATGAATTTTTATTGTCTTTTGTTTTTGTATCACCTGTACTTCCCAATATAGTCTTTTCATCTCCTTCCAGAGAGCAAACCACTCTAGTTATCTTTGCCAAGAAAACCCCAAATGGGGTCATGAAAAGTTAGGCATGACTAAAATAAATGAACAACAACAAGGCCTAGACCTACAGTAGAGGTGTGAGCTATAGATGATTACCTAGCAAAAGAAACTGAGGAACCGTGAAACAGGTTGGTGAAGAACCAATTGAGTGCTATGTTATGAAAACCCAGAGAGAAGAGTTAGCTAGGAGGAGAGGTAGGTCAACTGCTGCACATAAGTCAAGAAGGGTGAGGACTGAGAAAAGCCTATGAAATTTGGCAATTATAAGATCACTGGTAACTTTAGAGAGAGAATGTTTTGTTGGATTTTGACTATGAAAGGGAGGAAAGATATAGGAGAATAACCTGAGCAGCTGATAGTGGGTCAAGTAATGGTTTTTTAAGGGCGAAGTCAAGTATTATACAAAATACTTCAGACACTCGTAGGAAAAAAAATAAACCTGAACGGTGTTAGATTTAGGTGCACGGTGAGTTTTATGTTACAGTAGGAAATATATTGTAGCCATCAGGAAATACAAGATAGAAGGAAAAGACCTTGAAGTAAAGGCTGGAAGACCACTTGTCCTGTTGTAATGGGGGTTCTTCTCCTTATGGATTGGAATAGATAGCTACTCACTTTCCAACTCTAAAATTCTGTGTGAGAGCAGGGGCAGAGATGTAGAACTGGGAATCATCGGCATAGAAGAAACCACAGAGTTCTAGGCAATCTTCCTGGCACAGGATAACAGCTCTGTCCATTAACTCTAAAACCTTAAAAAATGTGCTTTGCCGCTATCGGCCTGTTTTTCTACTGAAAAATGATATGGCTGGACTATACTGTTTTTTTAATTAAATTTTATTTTTAATTATAAAGTATTTATTTCTTGCTCTCTCCCATTTCGCTTCCCCTGATGAAAAAGTAAAACAAAATCTTTGCCACAGATAAGTAACAGTCAAGTAAAACAAATTCCTGTATCCATCATGACCAAAATACTATCTCATTCTGCATATTATGGTCTAAATAACTTCCAAAATTCCTTACAACACTAACATTCCATAGACTACAGAGTTATAGTTATCTACCTTAAAAGCAAATAAGCTTAGGACCCATAGTGACATCCTGAGAGATCTAGTCATTATACATTACATATATATTATACATACAATATACATTTTACAGATGAAGAAAATGACTCCCAAGAGCAAAGAAGAAATCCAAGGGTCTTCTCACTGCACTATTCCTTGTGGGAGAAGACAAGTAGAGGAGACAGTTTCAATTGTTTCTAAATTTAAAAATCATACCTTGGGGGCAGCTAGGTGACACAGTGGATAAAGCACTGGTCCTTAAGTCAGGAGGACCTGAGTTCAAATCCTATCTCAGACCAAGCACTTGACATTTACTAGCTGTGTGACCCTGGGCAAGTCAACTGCCCCCCCAAAAAATCACACCTGCATCAAAACAGAGGCAGCTTAGCTTAGCAGCTAGAGCCAGGAAAAATCTGGTTCTATTTCCGCCTCTGCTACAAACCGGCTTGGACACCCTGGGCAATCCCCGAGGACTGTATAGTGTCGGGGAAGGCGTGGACCTCCACTAGAAAAAGGAGTTTTAAATTCTATATGTTCCTGAAATCATAGATCCACCCTACGCCTAATTCCACCTAAAAAAAAAATGACTTCAGGAGGTTCTATAAACTCCCTTCGTCCTTTTTTCTTCTCCTTCTTCCAGTCCGCCGCCTCCCCCTCCCTTCTCTCCCCCTTCTCCCCCCACAACGCAGGGTGAGCATGCGTGCGCTGTTGCACCTCCCCTGCCCCGCCCCACGGGAGATAGGTCCTCCCTTCCCCTCCTCCCTTCCGCTTCACCTGTCCTGCCCGCGTGACGCATCTCGCCGCGAGAACCGGCACCTGAGGGCGGGTTAACGTGAGCGGCGCCATTAGTCCCCGAGGCGGGAGGGGCCCGCCCTCGGCTGGCTGTACAGGAAGAGGCTGCGGGAAGTGGCCGGAGCTCCAGGACCCGCTGACCGGACGGGCCTACGTCGCCACCGTCGTGACAGGTGGGAAGCGAGGACGCTGGGGACGCTCGTGGCCCCGCCTCTCTCCGGCCCTCTCCCTCGGATCCCCTACCCTTCAGTCCCCCTCCGTACCTTCCCCCTCTCGAGCGCGCGCGCGGGGCGCGGGCCTCTGAGTCTCCCTTCCCCCGCGCTCCCCTACCCGCAGCCCCGAGTCCCAGGCGACTCTGGGCAGGGTCGGATTCGGCTGGGGGTCCTACTAGCTAGGCGTCCTGGCCGTGGAGGGGCCAGGATGCCCTTTACCTTGACAGAAGGGCATCCGGGGACACCCATGTCTCCTCTGTTTGCCCCATGAACGTAGTGGAAAACCGGTGGTCTACACCTGCTTCCCCTTACTCCTACACCTCGGTCCGACCCCGGATCATTTGGTGTAGCCCCAGGTGCAGCCTCTAAGAGGCTGGTGTGGGAGGGGGTCATTCTAGGATTGATGGCATCAATACTTCTCATATATCAAGTGCTTGAACATCTCATTTGATCCTCACAAACTACACCAACAGCCCTATTTTGCGGAGGAGGAAACAGGCAGACCATTTCAGTGACTTGCCCAGGGTCCAGTATGTGTCTTCTTCGGGATTTGAACTCAGATCTAATCTCCTCCGGCTCCAGGTTCTACCCATTGCACGCTACCCAACTGCTTTGGGCGCTCCCCTGAGATACCATCATGTTTGTCTCCTGTGGATCCTGTTTGGGCTCACAATCAAAAGCGTTCTGGCTGGAAGCCCAAGCCCCAGAATCTGGCCAGAACGACACACATCTAAGTGGGGCCTCCAGAGAATCCAGACAAACAATTGTTCCCCTCATTAAACCAAATCCCGTGTTAGTCCTGGAATTGAGTTTAGAGGTCACCTTCTAGTCACTTTCTAGAAACTGTAGTGCCCTGGGAGTGGAAACCAAAGCTCAGGTAACAAAGTGGAGAGTTAGGCGACCCATTTAAAAAGTTTGTCAGTTAATCAAAGGAACAAAAAGTTATTAGCTAGATTCTTTTAAATTGCAATAACTTGTATTGCTGAAAAATATTATTCAAATTATATTTCAAGAGAGTTTGAGAATTTTTTGCTCTTGAATCTTGTAATGGATATGACAAGGTAAGGAACTGTTACAGTATCTGCTCTGGTATTGCAGAGCTGGTTTTGTCTATTCTCTGCAATTCGTACTGAAATGATTTTGTTTTCTAGTTCTGCTACAGTAGATCTTTCTATGTGGAGGTGAAGTCAACAGTCCCTTTGCTACTCTGGTTTTAAAGGTACTTTTATTTCTCTGATTTAAAGTGTATGTCTAGGAAGCAAATGCAAAAGGAAAGGAAAACAAATGAACCCTATACCTCAACAAAGAGGCAAATAAAATTTCACATTAAAAAATTAGTGCTACAGCTTTAGGAAAAGTCAGTATACAGCTTGACTATACTTTTCCCAGAAGACTGGCAAACTTGGCTATACAAATGTAAGCTGGAAACTGTGGAGTGTTCTCAGTGGAAAATGAGCTGCAGGGAGTACCAGCTCATCAGGGAGTACCACCTGCTCATGGATGTATACAGAGAAGAGTTCCAGTCTTGTGGAGGTTAATAGTCACTTCAACTATACTACAAGCAGATTCACAGCAAGTACTCTTGATTTTGGCATTCTGTGCTTCTTTCAACTTCCACAAACAATTGTAATTTCAGAAATAGCCCTCCTGAAGGAGCATTGTACAAATCTACCTGGGGGGTCACAAAGATTATTTGTCAAGATCTTTATCTGAAAAATTAGTTTTAATATCTGGTATATCTGGCAGCAGATTTGTGAAAAGAGTTAAGACAAAATATAACTGACCAGCTACCCGCAATGATAACTGCTGCCATATTTTCTAGCAATTTTCCAACTGTTACCAAATTCTTTTCTTTCGCGTGATACTTTTGTCATAGTGGTTTTAGATACAGTTTAATAACATTGGATTTGGCTAAAATAAATATTTGTATAATATTGAAAAACCTTAGGGTTCTGAGCAGTGACCAGTCATAACGTGAGATGACTGACCTACAGAGGTAGAGTCTAGATCCTGGAATGAGGCATACTTTGTCAGACATTGATTGTGTTGATTTGTTTCATGAAGTTGCATTGGAGTGTAGTCCAAGACCATTTTCTTCACTCATCTTGTCTTTGACAGCAGCTTCTCAGCCTTTAGGCTTTCTTTGGAGTTGGCTAGTATTAGCTAGCCTTTTGTACCATCTAGTTCTTTTTTTCTAGCAAATAACATGAATCAGAAAATAGATATTTTAATGCTTTCAGTCCCAGAGTACTAACTAATTGCCATGCCCCATATTTTATTGCTTCTGTTTCTATATTCATTGCTCTGTATTCCTAAAAGGCATCTCCTGGCCTGCCATTGAAGCTTATCCTTTAAATCCCATATTGAATGCCCTTTTGTCTTGGATTCTTTCCCTAACTCCCCAATTTGTAATAACTCCCATTCCTCTTCGAACTTAACATAGAACTTTATAGCTATCTATACTTTGATTATCTTGTGTTATATTTATCTACGCATGTGTTATATCATAGATCTTGAGTATCAGAGAGTCAGGTACCTTGTCCCATAAACTTAGTATTATCCCCTGAGCCTATTCATTGCTCTGCACATGGAAAGTGCTTGCTAAATGTTTTTGAAATTTTTTTTTTTTAGAAAAAGTCAAGGAAGATGAAGCGGAGAAGGCATTTGGATTTGGCAGTTAAGAAGTCGTTGGTGGTGATCCATATCTCTATTTCCGGAGTGATGAATTGTTCCTATAAGTTATCAAAATAGCAATTTTCATCTTAAATAGGTATGTAAGATGAAATACTTAAAATAGGTTTTATTCCTTTGAGAAAGAAAGGAGTTGTATTTGTCTGATCATTAAGGAGAAGAGAACTTTTATTTTATTTTGTTTTTAATTGCAGAGTAATTGCTTTACATAAGAAACATGGTGACACTAATTCGCACACTAGCAGATCATGGTGATGATGTCAACTGCTGTGCCTTTTCTTCTTCTTTTTTGGCTACTTGCTCTTTGGACAAGACAATTCGTCTTTATTCATTAAATGACTTTAATGAACTCCCATATTCTCCACTAAAGTGTCACACATATGCTGTCCACTGCTGCTGTTTTTCACCCTCAGGACACGTTTTAGCTTCCTGTTCAACAGATGGTACAACTGTCTTATGGAGTACTCAAACTGGACACATTTTGGCAATGTTGAATCAACCCAGTGGCAGCCCTGTAAGGGTGTGCAGATTTTCTCCAGATTCTACATATTTAGTGTCAGGAGCAGCTGATGGCACTGTGGTTTCGTGGAATATGCAGACATACAAGTTGTTTAGGTATGGATCCTTTTGTTATTTTTGCTATATTAGGAGAATAAACAGAAAATCATTAAAAAGCTGAATGTTGTGAGATATTTTAAAAGCCTATTAAATGTTTTACGTGATTGTACATGTATAACCTATATCAGATATATAGATTATGATCAGATATGTAGACTATATATGTATAACCTTTCTCTCCCCTCCCCCACCCCTACCTCTCTAGCCATCTTCAACCTATTTTATAAATATTATTTTTAAAACATTTAATCATTTCTTGGTTTTAAGTATTTGAATTAACATATTTTGTATCTATATTAATTGAAAAAAGGAATCTTTATCTAGGATTTCAGTGGTTTTAGTTGTCATTTTGCCTAATAACTCTTATAATGTTTTATTCCTCCTTGGCTACAAAAGTGAGGAAATGTTTCAGACCATCAAATTAGGTCTGTGATGACTAAGTCCAGGAAAAACTGAAACTTTGTGGCCAAAAGTATTTATTTTCACTTTTTTTAAAAAAAAGCACTGATATTAAGAATACCGGTAAATTTATCACTTATAAATTGGAATGTGATGGGACTGGGCCTGTGATTTCATCAGTATAGGATAAGTATAAAGAAGAGAGTTTTTGTCATAGAGGATGAATGGAAATGTGCACCTCTCTGCCATTTATAGACTTAAAGGGTTGCAGAAATAATCACTCAGGATTACACGGCCAGTGTATAAGTGAAAGAGGAACCTAGTTCTTCTGATTCCAAGACTGGTTTTCTATCCTCTATGCCATGCTGCCTTTCTGCTTTGAAGACATAAATTTTTTAAATTGTTATTACTTTGAGAATGTATGAGTATATTTGTTGAAATGGGGTAGGGCTGCTTATGTAGAAGTTCTAGTGTGGAAGAACGCCAAAGAGGGAAGACCAGAGATCTTGGTATATTTTGATATATGTTGAAGATTAAGACTAAGACTAAAGTTGTTCTCATTGGTTTTCATGTAATTTGGTTTAAATAAAAATAATCTTACTAGTTAAGATGTTTCCATTTATTTATTTTGCCTTTAAAATAGGGAGAAGCTGTGTTAGTTATTACCACATCTTTTATTAGATTTTTATGTAAATGTGCAGTTTCAGTTTTTTTCATTAGCTAAATTGCTCTACCTCTGTTGTTTCAAAAATTCTGTCACATGACCTTTGAGAAGTATTAATTGCTCTATCAGAGTACCAACTGTTCTCTGATTTGGGGGGAAGAAGGGAGGTAGTCATTTTCTAGCAATATTTCGAAATATTATATAAAAGATGAAGTGAAAGATGCCTGTGATAAAATATTATAATCATGGGCTGTGATAATATAGTTAAAGATATCTTAAGGGAACTTTTTTTAACTAAGGGGATGATAGCTTTTGTCTTTGGCTCTTGTTTTTCCTAGTTTAAGTTTTTAGCTGATAATATACAGGATATGCATACAGTAAATTTAGCCACTGGATGAGGCACTCCACTTATTGTTGAATTTTAACTAATTTTAAGAAAATAATTGAGTATATAATTATTACAATTGCTTACCTTTTTTCTAAAGACAAATAGAAGTGGTAAAGTGAAAAAAAATTCATGTTGCTAAATGGTTACTTGAGTGTAGCGAGACTGAATTTTTTATTAACTCACAAATAATGTATAAAACAATGTGAATGTGGCAAATTTAAACTTATTATAGTTAAGTCAGGCTTTGTAGTTATTTTGAAGATAAAGACATAGTAGATAATATTGACTGCTGTTTAATAGATTTTAATGGGATTGATTTGTGTTACCTACTTTGACATTTGTTCTCCTTTATGCATGTCTCTCTGCATGAAAAGCTAAATGTAAATCGACTTTAGGTTAAGACATAAGGCAGTTTTGTCTTGTGAAATACATTATTTGAGATAACATTAAATTTCTCACTTTATTTTAAGAGAGCTTGTTTCAGTTTAATCATAGAGATTATTTTTCCTTTGGGCATACATTAAAAAGGAAGAGTAATAGCCATTTTCTCCTTTTTTAAATAATAACTAGTGTTTATGATTTTTTACTTTATCAGGTTATAAGTTAGAAGTTATATTTTCAATGCAAAAGATGTTTAAAAATCAAATTCCTTTATTCTTTAACTCTGTTCCAGATCTGGTAGTGTTAAAGATGGTTCCTTGGTGGCCTGTGCATTTTCTCCTAATGGAAGCATCTTTGTCACAGGATCGTCATGTGGAGACTTAACAGTCTGGGATGATAAAATGAGGTGCTTACATAGTGAAAAAGCACACGATCTTGGAATCACCTGCTGTGATTTTTCTTCACAGCCAATTTCTGGTTAGTCATTTTACTGTTTTAAGTACACCTTCCTTATATTATTTTCTAATACTATTTGTTTTATTCACTTTCTTTTTATCATTATTAAATATAATAAACCCTAATATATTACATATGATATGCTAATATTAATAAATGTTAAATATTATGTTCTCAATCCTATAATTTCTTTATTCTTCTTTGTCATAAAGAGATGCCATAAGAAACAATGAACCAAACTAGCATATCTGATATGGTTCAACTGCTGATGGTATCATAAACCCAAATTTGTTAAATATTGTTATTTATGGGAGAAGAACATTCTGTTTTTCATACTGCAAGAGGGTTGGAATTTGATGAAATATTTTACATGGTATATTTTAATGGAAAAGGGAAGGGCAAAGGATGCATAAGTTGGACTAACCTATGTGAAAATTGTATTTTAGACATTTTAAAATTTTAGTTTCTCACTCAGTTTAAAATTTATAGCTATTCAATTATATATTTGCAGTAATTCTAAGTAATGAAAAACTGGTAGTCTGAAAATTATATAAAACTTTAAAAACTGAGGTAGCATTTTAAAATACATGTTTACATTAGAATCTAAGTAGTATCTGGGAAATCTATTTGATTGACATAAATAACAGATTCCATAAGAAAAAAGTACATTAGCATTTAAAGTCATTTGGGAGAATACTTTAGATTTTTATAAATTCTGAGGGCTTTTATAAGAAATCTAGTTTTTTACTGGTCAATAGGAAAGGATCTTTAACTTAAGTCGTCTGTAATAATGAGCAAAGTAATATTTGTGAACTTTATAGTTACTTCCTGGAGGTGTGTTAAATTTTTAAAATAACAATGTTCAAGCAAAGAATGCACGTCAGGAATATATATATTTAGGTTTAGCTCATTTCATATAATAGTTGTGTTCCTCCAAAAATTAGTATAAATCAAATGATATTTTAAATATACCAGGTAAAAGTACTGTTTTAAAGAGCACTTTGAGTAAAATGAGTAATCCTTGTTTTAATGCATTTAGTAACTTAAATATCTTTAAATGCTCTGCAGAAATAAAGATAAATCTAAATAACTGTAGAAACATTATTTGCTTATGGCGAGGTTGAGCCAATACAATAAAAAAGACAATACTACCTAAATTAATTTTTACATTCAGTGTTGTACAACAACTAGAAAAAATGATAATTCATTTTTAAGAAAAAAAAAAGAATTTCAAGGGCAAAATGAAATAAATGGCAAAGAAGGGGGGTCTATCCATACCAGAAATCAAATAAAATAATAGTCATTTTAGCACTTTGGTACTGGTTAAAAAATTATGTTGACTCAATCTACACATGAGCACTTAATTAAGTCTGTCTTTACTATTGCAAAGTTCATAGTTTTATAGTTCATAGATTCACACATTTTTTATTGATAGAGTTCCTGGGTACATCTTGGTAGATACATTCCCAAATACTTTATAGCTTTTGTAGTTATTTTAAAAGGAATTTTGCTTTCTAGTTCTTCCTGCTGAGCTTTGTAGGCAACAAACAGAAATGCTTATAATTTATGTGAGGTTTTTTTTTTCCTGCAACTTTGCTGAATTTCTTCATTGCTTTCTAGTTCTTCCTGCTGATCTTTGTTGGCAACAAACAGGAATGCTAATGATTTATGTGGGGTTTTTTTTCCTGCAACTTTGCTGAATTTCTTCATTGTTTTAATGAACTTTTGTTTTTTAAGTGAATAAGGTTTTTTAAGTGAATCTTATCATTAGCAAAAAGTAATAGTTTTATTTATTCTTTGCCTAAGCTTATTCCTTCATTCATTATTATTCCTACCAATTTTATAGATCAGGGACCTAAGACTTAAAGAGCTTATGTGACTTGTACATATAGCTAGTAATGTTAGTCATGAGATTTAGACTCAAGTCTTTCTGACCCAAGCCCAGAATTCTATTACTATGGTGCCTCTTCTGTTGCATCATTTATGTCATAACTTAGTGCTAGGTATAAGATAAATACTTGTTGGCTGAAAAGACATAATATCTCACTGTAGCACCATTACCTTCTTCCATAGCCTCTTGGGTCCGGCTCTAATCATACCCCTGCATAGATTCCTGTGGGGAGCCTTGTCTTAGCTGTATGACTGAACTCTTCATTGGAAATGCTGCCCACTGTGTAAAGGATATATATGTAGTATTTTAATTACTGGAGGGACCATGTAGTCCATGAAAGAGTAAGAGTCAGAACCATATTTCTGCCCTAGCTGCAACTTTAAGGAATTCTCCTTCCTTGCTAGCTTGAAGTTATACATGTGTGTTAGAAGAGGAGAATCAGCCATGCCAATAAGAGCTGAAAAAGTGGTTGGTTCTGATTTTGCTTCTTCATTCTTAGATCACTAGCTGCCACTTGATTTAGCTGTATTTACATGTTTTACCTAATTGGAGTGAAATTGGATGACTTTAGCATTGGGGCAGGAGTGACTTCTTTTGGCTCCATTCTTGATCATTGATGTGGACGTTCCTTCCATCCATACCAATTAAAGCACCTTATTACTTGTTCATCTTGTAAGCTTTTGACCTCCTCCTTCAATAAGGTTGCTACCTAACATGCTAGCAGCCTTATTCACCTTCTCATGCCATCAGGAAGATATCAGTAGGGCATATGGGCTGTCTGTTGGTTATTCTCCCTTCTTGCCACATAAATCAACTGATTTTTTTTATCACATGCTTTCCAAATGATATCTTTTATTCTTGTTTTTTATAGTTCTGTATTTGTTAAATTTCAGAGTATTGACACAGTATAGCAGAATACTCTGATGTGCCTCTCCATTGTCTTCTGAGTAATACTGATTTTTTTTCTTCAGAGGCTATAGTGTTCTGTGATTCAAAGTCATACAACACCACTTGTGAAATATTTGTGTTAGAAAGATAAGTTTTAAAAAGATTGGTTTTAGGGAGAAATTTAGGGTCCAAGAGCTTTACAGTTTTTGAAAGGCCATACAGTCTGTTCTCTTCCTGTTGAATTGTGGGTCCAACTCATTGTCTCTTTGCTTTGTCTGTCGTGATGTGTGTGTGTGTGTGTGTGTGTTTGTAGTTGTGCTCTTTAGGTTGTCGATATAACTGCATATCATAATGGACAGTGGTCATTCTTCATCCACTTGGTTTTTCCTATGTCAGACTAAATTCATGTGAGTGGTTATAGAACTTATTCAGGAAGCTCTGCATTGTTATGAGATGTGCTTAACAGGCTCCCTGTTATATAGAAGCATCCAGAGTACGTCATCCTCTTTAGGGAATCTGTCTTCAACTTGAACTCTACATGGATCTCCTCCATGTCTATAGCAAACCTTTAGTGAGCATACATCTCATTTTATGTCACCTGTAATACATGCAGAAGGTCATTGAGCAACCTTATTATCTTATTAATTAATTTTATAATTATATAATTTAAATTATATATATAGTTGCATAAATATATATGAATTATATAATATATAATAAAATATAAATTATTATATAAATATCTATAAATATAAAATTATAATTTTATAATATAATAATTAATAGTATATATACATTGTTTTTCTCTTCTGTTCTCCCCTCCACTGAGCAATAAAGAAAAATAAATACTGGTAACAAGTATGCATAATCCAGCAAAAAAATTCCCCCATTGACAGTGTGCAGAAATGTATTTCATTCTGCATTTTAAGCCTGTCACCTATCTTTGACAGGAAATGAGTAGTGTGTTTCATCTTCAGTGCCCCAGACTTGTATTTTATCATTGCATTAATCAGAGTTCTAAAATCTAAGTTGTTTTTCTCTTTAATGTTGTTGCCATTGTTTAAATTGTTCTCTTCATTCTGTTCACTTCATTCTGTATTAGGTCGTGGGAGGCTTCCCAGTTTCCTCTGTAATTGGCCATTTTAAAATTTCTTATGGCACAGTAATATTCCATTTATATTCAATCGATCAAAAAATTTTGTTAAGCACCTAATATGAGTCAGGCACCATGCTAAGAGCTGGGGATACAAAAGGAAGCAAAAAACAGTCCTTGCCCTCAAGGATCTTACAGTCTAATGGAGGACACAAAATGTAAACAAATATATGCAAAGCAAGCTGTATATAGGATAAATAAAAAATAATTAACAGAGTTAAGGTACTAGAATTAAATGGGATTGGGAAAGGCTTATAAAAGATGGGATTTTAGTTGGTACTTGGAAACCAGAGAAGTCACTAGGCAGAGTTGAGGAGAAGGACATTCCCTTAGTATCCAGTTTGGAAAGAACTGCTATAAATATTTTTGTAAATACAGGTCCTTTTCATCTTTTTTTTTAATCACTTTGTGGTATAACCTAGAAGTGATAGCTAGCCCAAGGAATATGCACAGTTGGGTAAATATTGGGGCTTAGTTTCAATTTCTAGAATGGTTGGAGCAGTGCACAGTACCTGTTAACAGGGCACTAGTGTGCCTGTTTTCTACTATTTGTAGTATTTGTCATTTTCCTCCTTTGTCCTCTTTGCCAATCTGGTAGGTGTGAGGTACAGCCTCAGAATTGTCTCAATTTGCATTTCTAATAATTAGTGATTTAGAGAATTTTTTCATATGGTTGTTGATAGTTTGAATTTCCTCCTTTGAAAATTGCATGTTCATATCAGTTTGTCAATTAGAGAATGGCTCTTATTCTTATACATTTTAATCTGTTCCTTATGTATCTTGGAAATGAAATCTTTGTCAGAGAAACTCACTTCAAAGATTTTTTTTCCAGTTAACCTCTTTCCCTTCTAATTTTAACTGCATTGGATTTGTTTGTTCAAAAATATTTAAATGTTATATGACCAAAATTTGGCCATTTCATCTTATACAATCTTTATTTCATATTTAGTCATGAAGTCTTTATAGATCTGAAATATAATTTTTTCCTTCCTGTTCAACTTTGTTTATGATATCACCTTTTAAATCCAAGTCGTATTTATTTGAAGCTTATTTTGGTATATGGTATGAGAGGTTGGTCTATGCCTAATT